CCCACCGCCAACCCGCTGCTTGCGCTCGGCGACAGCCTGCTGGCGCAGCTGCGCGCCTCCTCCGTAGCCCGCCAGGTTGCCGTCCAGCTGCGCCAGTACAGCGCTGCTGCAGGCAGCGGGAGCAAGCGCGCCAGTCTGGAGCAGCTGAGCTGGTGAGTTGCCCTTGAACCAGCTGCTGGGGCCTTGGGGAATGTTCTCGTAGTTACTTGCAGCTGCACATCGCGGCCGGCCGGCTGGGCGCAGTGGAGGGGCTGCAGGCGCAGCCCTGGCAGGAAGTGCTAGAGCCCGACTTGACGCCGCCCGCCCTTTACGGCACGGACCCGGAGCTGCTGCAGGCGCTGCTGCAGTTGCTGACCGCGCTGATGGCGCTCTACAAGGGGGCGCCGCACTGCTGGGTCGGCCAGCTGCTGGCGCTGCACTGCCCGATTTACTGGGCGCAGCTGGGCGGCGACTGTGCGCCCGCCAGGGCCACCCGCGAGCTGCTGCAGCTGGTTGCCGTCTGCGCGGCGGCTGACGCCGCGCCCCAATGGAATCCCGTGCTGGACCTGGTGGGCCAGCAGCTGATACTAACGGAGCCCCTGCGCAGCGCTTTTCTCAACTCCCTGCTCGGGTGTCTCGCGCACTTGGCTGCGCGCCCCGGCTGCGACTGGGCGCAGCCCATCTGGAAGGCGCTGCCCCAGTGTCTGTTCGAGCTAATGCTGATGGAGCCCCCGATGGGGCTGCACGCCTCCCGTCACGCCCTCCTCGTCCTCAACCGATTGGCCAGTGAGTTGCAGCTGGGGGGCAAAAAGGCGCGCTGGTTTTGGGATCAGGGCGTCGTCAACGTGCGCCCCATGGTGGACAGCGGGGACGTGCTGGTGCGGGCCGGGGCCCTGCAGCTGTTCGCCAGTCTCCCCTTCGGGGCGGAGCGGCTCTGCGAGGCGCAGCTGCCCCCTTTGGCCCTGCAACTGTTGGCTGATCACCGGGAGGCGAGTTTAGTGCGCCAAAACGCCGCCCTGCTGTTGGCAAACTTGACTAGCGATAAATTGGCCCTGCGGGGGCTCGGGTTGAGCGACCGGCTCATTGGGGTGCTGCAGGCGCTGTTCGCGCCCGATGGGTGCTGCGCCCCCGGGCTGGTGCGGGCCGTTTGCGTGCTGCTGCAGAAAGTGCTGGACGCGGACTTGAGCCGCCGGCTGCACCAGCTGGGGCTGATCAACCCGATGGTTCGGTGAGCGAGTTTGCGGTGCTGGAGGCTTCGGCTCATTTTTGTGGGTTTCAGGCGGCTGGCAGGGGACGGGGAGCATATGCAGGAAATGGGGTCGGCCGTGTGCGGGCTGCTGCGCAAGCTGGTGCGACTGCTGGACGAACCCACCCTCACCAAGGACTCGCTTTTGGTGCTGCTGGCGCTGTTCGACCCCCGGAAGATCGGTGAGTTGATTCCCCGGGTAAACAAGCGTGGGTTAACCAGGTGGGGTTGCAGCCGCCCCCCAGAGGAACCAGCTCTGGAGGAGCGCGCTTCAACTGCTGGCGGCTTTGCGCAATGAGCAGGCGCTGGTGCTGCAGGCGCTGCAGGAGGCGGGGCCGGAACAGTTCCTGGACGCCATGTGTGGGGTCCTGAGCAGCGCGGGCGTCGGGGAAGGGCTGCAGGAGGCCGCCCTTTTGGCGCTGGCGCCGCTGCTGCCCGCGCTGGCCGAGCAGCTGGACGGGGTGCGGGCGACCATCGCCTCCTTGGGCGCCCCTTGCGGTGTCCTGGAGCAGGGCTACCACGGCGACGAGGCGCTGATGATGGGCGGAGCGCTGTGCCAGGTGCTGCTCAATTTGTACGAGTTGGGGAGGGGCCACCTGGTGGTGGCCGCCTTGACCGGGCTGCTGGGCGGCTCCCAGACCGCCAAGCGCTGCGCCCTCAGCCATGGGCTGGTGGAGGGCGCAGTCAAGTCGCTGCGCGACTTGGACATTTCCTTCAGCCTCGCGGGGCGCGCCGAGTCACGCGTTGACTGCCTGGTCGACGTGCTCGGCCTCCTCACCAACCTTCTGGGGCGGTGCCCCCCGGCCAAGGGTCGGGCTGCCGCCCTGGGGCTTGCCGACGTCGCCTGCAAGTTGCTGAAGAACGGGGACCCCGGCCTGCTGATTACTGGGCTGGGCCTGCTGGCCGTCTTCACGCAGGACTGTCCCGAAGGTGAGTGTCCCTTTGAGTGCAGCCAGGACAGTGATAGGGGGTGTTTCAGCCGGCCGCTCCATCGTGCGGACCGCCCAGGCGCCAGCGCTCAGCTTCGTGGTGGACGCGGTCGTCACCGAGCTGAACCATAGCAGCCAGCGTTGCTCGCCCGTGGCCCTGCAGCTGGGCTTCGACGTGCTGCGCCACTGCTGCATCGACTCGAGCTGCCGCAAAATTCTGTCCAAGGTAAATGGGGCTAAACTAAAAGCTTTGCTTTGCGCCGTCGTCATCGTTGCGTTTGTTGCAGCGAAAGCTGCTGGACCGCATCTATGCGGCCATCACGGGGCGCGCGCCCTTCAAGCCGCCGGAGCCGATGTGGGTGGAGTTCCTGGAGGCGGTCACCCGCTTCCCTGAAGGGCAGGAGAGCGTGGGGCGGGACGCGCAGCTATTGGCGCTGGTTGTGGAGCGGGCGGCCAACCGCAAGGCCCCGAATGGCGTCCTGCCCGCCCTGCGGCTGCTGCGCAACGTGGCCTTTTACCCGCCCAACCGCCCCCGGCTGCTCGGCTCAGGTGAGTGGTTTTGGCGCACTCAACCAGATGAGGAGGGCGGCTGTTTCAGAGGCCTTCCTCGCGCTGCTCGGTTGCCAGCTAACGCGCGGCGACGCGCCGGAGAAGCGCCTGGTGCTGCTGATGGTGTGGGCGCTGGCCGCCAACCACCATCGCGCCAAGGTGGCCTTCAAGCTCTGCAGGCTGGACGCCTGCCTGGAGGGCGCCCTCAAGTCGGCGCAGCTGCTGCAGCAGGGCGACCCCGAGGACCTGCAGCTGATGGAGACCGTCCTGGCCATGCTCAGGGGGCCCTAGTGGTGTCCCACACAACTTGTTGGCGCTGAAGTGAAGTGAAGTCACGTTTTTGGGCGCTGCGCCACTGTTGGAAGGCCAATGGTTTTTTTATTATTATTAGTGTTGTTGTTATTAGTTTAGTTGTGCATTAACTGGGTCGAGGACGGTGTTTTGCAACAGTCAGCGTTGGAAATCCAGAGCGGGTGAGGAAACCGTCGCCAATCGGGCGCAATCAGCCAAATCGCGCTTCTATTGCCTAATGAATTGTTTGTTTTTTGCAGTGGCGGGGCCTCCGGGCCGGGTTGCCAAATGTTCGGGAGTGGGCAATGAGGGTTGGAGCGTCAGCGCGGCCAGACAAGCGGTGACAGTTCCACTGGCAGCTCCCAGCAGCAGTTCGAACGCGTGATCATGTGCCCCATCAGTTTGTTGTGAAAAGCCGTTGTCCCCGATTGCGTTCAGTAGTTCGGGCTGCGCCAGCTCCTAGCCGCACTTTGTCCAGCGCCCCATTGCCATGCAGAAGCAGGAGGAGAAGAGCCGCATGGTTTACCGCCTGGTGCTCACTGGAGGTGAGTCGGTGCCCTGCGGGCCCCCCGGCGCTCTAAATGCGGCGTTTTTGCAGGGCCGTGCGGCGGCAAGACCACGGGCCAAGCGCGACTGAGCACCTTCTTCGAGAACCTGGGCTGGAAGGTAAGGGCGCAGCCCGGCGCCAGTCGGCCGCTTTCAACTGTTTGTTGCCTTGCAGGTGTTCCGGGTGCCGGAGACCGCCTCGGTGCTGCTCAGGTGAGTCCCGATTATGTAAACGCGTTGGCACAGCGCTTCTGCGTCGCAGCCGGTCAATTGGCACGCCAATTGACCTCTCGTCCGCGTTGATTAGACTGATCATGGGTTTCGGTTGTAGTGGCGGCATCAAGTTCACCGATCTGAGCGAGGACGAGGGCGTGACCTTCCAGGAGAACCTGCTCAAGACGATGCTGCAGGTGGAGGAGACGTTCTTCGAGCTGGGGCGCACCTGCAGGCGCAACTGCTTGATCATTTGCGACCGCGGCGCCATGGACGCCTCCGCGTGTAAGTGGCTGCGCCCCCGCAGGCCCTCTGGCTCACCGCCCGCTCGGTTTCAGTTATCTCGAAGGAGCGATGGGAGAGCATCATGGCCGACAATAGCTGGAACAACATCGAGCTGCGCGACAACCGCTACAACCAGATCATCCACATGGTGTCGGCGGCGAACGGCGCCGAAGACTACTACAGCACAGAGGTAGGTGGGCGTGACCGGGCGCGGCCCCTCCCACACCGTCCCCGTTGCAGGACCACTCCTGTCGGTCGGAGGGCGTGGAGCTGGCGCGCGAGCTGGACAGCAAGGCGGCCGCCGCCTGGATCGGCCACCCCTACTTCGACGTGATCGACAACAGCACCGACTTCGAGGGCAAGATCAGGCGCATGATTGGCTCGGTCTGCCACAAGATCGGCCTGGACACGGGCGACCGCCTGCTGACCAACTCGAAGAAGCACAAGTTCCTGGTGGCGGGCCCCATGCCGGACGACGCCCTCTTCCCGCCCTTCCAGGACTTCGAGGTGGTGCACAACTACCTGCAGTCGAACTCGCCGAACCAAGTGCGGCTGCGGAAGCGCGGCCAGAAGGGTGCGTCCGGCCGGTCCGCGGGCCCCGCGCGTTCTAACCGAGCCCCACTTGCAGGGTACTACAGCTACATCCACACGGTGCGCCGCCAGAACCAGCCGGGCGGCCAGGTGATCGAGGTGAAGACGCAGATCAACCATCGCGACTACATCAACTTGCTGACGCAGAAGGACAACTCGCACTTCACCATCTACAAGAAGCGGCGCTGCTTCATCTTCGACAACCAGTACTTCCAGCTGGACATCTACGAGCAGCCGAGTCACCCCAGGTGAGCGCACGGTTTTTATTCTTATCACTAGATCACAATCACAGGTTAGTCGGGCATCAGCCCCAGCTGCTTGAGGTGCATGGAGTGCGCGATCAGGCGGGCGGTGTCCTGGTGGCCGAAGGCCCTGGCCAGCAGGTAGGGGTGGCGCTGCGGCTCTGCGGGGGGCCGGGCGCCCTTGGCCAGCAGCCACTTGACCAGGGCGGCGTGGCCGAACATGGCCGCCAGCTCCAGCGGGGTGAGGGCCTGCGGCCCTCCGGGCTCGTTCACGTCGGCCCCGGCGTGGCACAGCGCGTGGATGCAGCTGGCGTCCTTGCAGGCCTGCAAAGCCCCCACATCAAGCCCCCGCTCTTGTCTCGCAGTGCACTCACCTGGTGCCTGATGTAGTAGAAGGCGGCCAGTTGCAGCGCGGTTTCCTGGTGCGCGGACTTGAGCTGCAGGTCGGCGCCCAGGCGCAGCATCGCCTTCACCAAGGGGGTGCGGCCGTGGGCGCACGCTACCATAAAGGGAGTGTAGCCGGCGGGGCGCCGGAACTGGTTGATGTAGTGCGGGTAGCGACGCAGCAGGCACAGCGCGCCCACCAAGTCGCCCAGCTCCACCGCGCGGTACAACTGCTCGAAGTGGGGGCGGCGCAGCCGGCGCCACAGCACCAACAGGGCCCCATAGACGAAAAGGACGGCGCCCGCCCAGCGGAGCAGCGTCTCAATCGCGCACATCTCTGACATTTCAGTTGGCACGTTGACAGGCCGCCATTTTGAGGCAGCGGTTGTGTTGCAGATGCCGGGGGCTGATTCTGCTGGAGACCTACTCGACGCTGGACGACGCCCGGCTGCAGCGCAAGCTGCCCACCTTCCTCACCATTGAGCGCGAGGTCACTGGCAGCGCCGACTACTCGATGTACAATCTGTCGCTGCGCGAGGACTGGAAAACCTCCAAGAAGTATCTGCGCACCAACTTTGTCGGTAAGTGCCCCATCCCTGACACGTTGAATATTTCGTGCGCACATGACGTCACTGGTTAGCACTTYGGTTAAKTGAACAGCTAATACAGCCATTTAAAATGYGTGTMACCTAGACAGRTTTTCKTTGAATTTAAAACGCAATAGAAAAAGAAGATTTTWWAAAAATAATTACATGTGACACACACATTTAGCAGACAGGAAAAAAATCACGACACTCCGTGACTTCCATTGACGTCAGCAAGATCCTACCTTGTATTCATTGTGTCATGGGCTAACAGTGCGCGTCAAACCCCCCAATCCTCCTGATACGTTGAATATTTCGTGCGCACATGACGTCACTGGTTAGCACTTTGGTTAAGTGAACAGCTAATACAGCCATTTAAAATGCGTGTAACCTAGACAGGTTTTCTTTGAATTTAAAACGTAATAGAAAAAGAAGATTTTTAAAAAATAATTAAATGTGACACACACACACATTTAGCAGACAGGRAAAAAATCRCGACACTCCGTGACTTCCACTGACGTCAGCAAGATSCTACCTTGTATTCATTGTGTCATGGGCTGACAGTSCGCGTCAAACCCCCCCCAATCCTCGTAACTAAATAGGGCTTATGTGCAGGTCCAGAGGATGCGGAGGGGCACGGCCCCAACCAGCTSAAGCTGAAGCTCAACGGGCACGGCGCCGCCCCCGGCCTGGCCGTGAACGGCGCCGCCTGAGCCCCCGGGCCTTCTCTAGTATTTAGCAGCCGCGCTACCCACCAAATACGTTGTTTCTGTTTGTTGTGCAAACCTGCCGAGTGTGCGAACGACTGCGTCGCGTGAACTTTCCCCATTCTGTATTGTTGTAAATAGCCGGCATTACCTTAACTTAAGTGAAGTGAGATACTTAATTGTCCCAGGACACTGGCACTGGTCCCAGCTGTACATTCTAGGTTAGTTTATTTATCGTTATTGTTCGACTAGGGCTAGGCTGAGTGGTGAATTACACTTTAGTCACTAAGTCTTGTTGTGCAGATATTGGCTCATCACCCGCTTCCCTGGCACCAAGCCCTGCGTCAGTCCCGGCCGTTTCCTTTTCGCTCCCTTTGGGTCCTTGTCCGGTTCGGGGGTGCTGAAAATCGGACAGTTAGTGCGGGGGGGCAGAGGCGCGTGCAGGGCTGCGCCCACCTGACGCCCGACTGGCACACCACGCTGCAGGCGCGCGCCCGTGCCCGCTCGGCGTGGAGCTGCGCCTGCGACTTCTGCAGGTCGGAGTCGTGGGCGTACTTGCAGTTGTGCCCGAAGCGGCACCGCCCCTTGCGGTAGTTCCAGCAAATGCGCTTGCCGTTGATGGCCAGGGCCTCCCGCGTGTCCACCATCTTCACGTGCTTCTCCAGGATGGCCTCCTTCGCCGTCTCCGCCTCGAGGAAGGGGTTGCCGAAGACGGAGTCGGGGCTGCAATGGGCGCTGAATTGGGGCGCCGGCAGCCGCAGGGCCGCGCCCGGGTCCGGCTTGCTGCAACAACCCCCTCACTGATGTGCCCCCGATTGGTGTCTCAAGGCCTACCTTTCTAGGTAAGTTGGTTTGTGGTCGCTGTCGCTGTCGTTTGAGCCGTCCGAGCTGGTTGCCGAGTCGCTGTCGTAGTCCGCCACCAGCGACATGGCCAGGGCTTTGCTCTATTTCGGGGGGCTGCGCCCTTCCAAAGCCCCACTTTGGATCACAACAACAACTCTCCACCGACCAGGTTGCTAGGTTATGTCACAGATGTTTGTTGAATTATCTCGAAGCTTATGTTGCCATGTTGTCATATTTATGGCATGCAACGCCAAAATAATTATTTTGTTTCCTTATCTGATTCATTGAGGAACGGCCACACATGCTGTTGACTAATTGGGAGCAAGATAAGGACAAGTATAGATTTATTAGTATTTATTTATTTATTTATAGCTAATTTTAGTGTCAATTGTTTAAATTTGGACAGGAACGTTGTTGAGACGGGTTTTTCATCGGAACGATCAGCGGCAGGAGTTTAGCGTTACGCTATTTTTTTCCCGTAGTAGGTGCTCTCTATTTGCGAAATTTTGGAAAATAAGGGAACGCTAACGCTAAAAACGAATCTCCTGATATTCGCTCGCTACCTCCTTCAACATGCTGCTGCCCTGGTAGAAACGAAGAAAATTTGCAGTTGCCATCAGAACTTTTCCATTAGAGACTTGCTACACCCACGTTCAAAATAAGGGAACGCTAACGTTAAAAACGAATCTCCTCCTGATATTCGCTCGCTAACTCCTTCAACATGCTGCTGCCCTGGTAGAAACGAAGATCTGCATTTGCCATCAGAACTTTTCCATTAGAGACTTGCTACACCCACATTCAACATAAGGGAACGCTAACTTGTCTTTATCTATGATTGGGAGTTAATAATTGACGGCAACGCTGCTTGCTGCAATCGTTAACCTTACTTTTGTCTTATTCTGTTGATGACGGTTGACCAAACGTCCATTCGAATCGGCCAATGTTGAGGTGGCGTTGATGGCGTTTGCTGTCATGAGCCGAAATAGCTCAGTTGGGAGAGCGTTAGACTGAAGATCTAAAGGTCCCTGGTTCGATCCCTGGTTTCGGCATACTTTTTTCCTGCCCATTTTAACGCCTCTGCCGTATCTTATCGCTTGTTTGCCTTCTGATCCTCCCGAACAATTGAAATGGAACAAAATTAAGATTCATCAGCTTTATCAGTCCAAGTCATTGTTTTTGCTTGGGCACGCATTCGCTCTGTGACCGTCAGCATGGCGACATTTTGGGTTATTTGCCTGGTTCCTTTGGTTCTGCTGGTGGCCAAGCTGTTCGATCGGGCGCCGCCCAAGATTTTCGGCGTCTACAGCCGCCCGGGCGGCCTCTTCTGGCCCAAGGCCGTGTGGATGTTGGGGCTGCTGTGGCTCAAGAGGCTGGCCGGGAGGCTGCGCCCCCAGGCGCCCGACTACTACACGGCGTTGGAACGCCCCCAGCCACTCCCCGACACTGCGCTGGTAAGTAGAAGGGGGGGCGCGAGCCCCGCCCCCTGGGCGGGTTGTTTATGCGTGGTTTCTAGGCAGTGGACGCGGTCTATTTCAACGCCACCAATCGCGAGGGCGACTGTTTGTTCGTAGGCACGGCGCGCCGCCCCTTGCGACTAGTGGACACCTTCCTCTACCTCAAGGTGGGGGAGTTGGGGCTGCTGCAGCTGCCCCTCCTGCCCGACTCCGCCCACTTCAACACGGGGGAGGAGCTGAGCTATCAGGCGGGCGGTGAGTGGCTGGGCGTTTGACTTGGAGGGGCTTTTTGACTGGGTGTTGAAGGCGTGCACATCAAGTGCCTGGAGCCGATGAAGGTCTGGACTGTGGAGTACCAGGGGGAGCTGCGCGAAGCCGACGACCCCGCCCGACTGCATGACGTCACCATTAAGGGCGTGTTCACCTCGGGGGAGCCTTGCTTCAACTCGTCGACCGACCTGGACGTTTGGAGCATGGCCAAGGCGCTGGCGCTCGAGCCCTGGAGCCGCGCCTTCTTCAAAAACGTCAAAGCGTAGGTAAGGGGGCGGGGCCTGGGCGCAGTTTGACAGCGGGCGGAGTTGCAGGGCGCACCAGCTGCACTACGAGCAGTTCGGCGTGTTGGAGGCCGACGTCCAAGTGGGCGGGGCCGCCTTCAAGCTGCGCCTGGACACGGTGCGCGACCACTC